TAAATAATTAATATCTATTATAATTATAAATCTAAGTAATTACTTTTTAAAGATAAAACGTAATATGTTAATATCTAAATTTTATATAATTATATAAGACGAAATGAGTTAAAGAAGAAGAAAAAGATAAGAGAGAAATTAGAGGTTAAATATTCGCGTAATATTAATATAATATTATTATTTATATTAAGTATTCTCGAAATAAATTAATTATAATTATTTTAAAATAAAGTTACTTTATATATATAAGATTTTAGATTTTTTTAAAAATAGAAATTAAGATTATTTAGTAAAGAGTTAAAATGTTATTAAATTTAAAGTAATTTAATAAAAGCTTATTTAAACTTTATTAATAGTAAATTAATAAAATATTAGTTTTTATTTATTTAAAGACTTTAAAATTAAATAAATAATAATTATAAAATATTAATATAAAGTCTAAGAAAAGAATCTATATATAAATAAATATAAAAATAAAATATTATTAATAATAATAAAGAATTAATAATTTTATATATAAGAATATTTATTATCTTCTTATTTTAGATATCTCGAGTTAGTTATCGACTAATAAATTATATATTATTATATTAGAATTTTATTACTTTTTTATTTATATAAGAAATAAATTTTTAATAATTAAATTAGAGTTAATATTTAAATTAATAAATACTTTAAAATATATATAAAAGTATTTCTCTAATCTATTATTCTTATTAATCGAAAAGGTATAATATAATATAGAATATTAATCTACTATATTATACTCTAATATAATATAGATTATTAAGATTTATATAATTCTATATCTAGTATAATATAGAATCTTAATAAGATATATTATAGTATAGTATATCTATAGTATTATACTATAAAATAGTATATATATAGAATATTTCATTAAGATATCTATATTTAGAAGTATAAATAGTTATTCTAATTATTATTCTAATTAATAATTAATTATATCTACTTCTATTCGATATACTACTATAACTATTATTATTATAGCTATTACTATTATAGCTAATACTATTATAACTACTATTATTATAGCTAGTACTATTATAGCTAATACTATTATATCTATTATTATTATAACTAATACTATTATAGCTAATATTACTATAACTAGTATTATTATATCTATTATTATTATAGCTACTACTATTATAACTACTATTATTATAATTATTACTTACTATTATAACTATTATTATTATAATTATTATCGAAATATAACTCTCGCGTATCTTAGTTATCGTATTCTTTAGTTATCTAATTTTATACTATATTTAGAATCTAATCTTAGAGCGGTTTTAGAGAATTAATCTATTTATTCTATATATTATATATCTAATATTTTAATAGCTATTACTACTATAACTATTACTATTTATTATTTAAATAATCTACTATTATATAATAGCTATAATAATAATAGTTATAGTAATAATAGTTATAGTAGTAATAGTTATAGTAATATTAATTATAATAGTACTAGTTATAGTAGTATTAGCTATAATTAACTAGAATAATAACTAGAATAACTACTTATACTTCTAAATATAGAAATCTTAACGAGATATTTTATATATATATTATTCTATAATATAATACTATAGATATATTATATTATAATATATCTCGCTAAGATCTCGAACTTATATTAGAAAAATGGAATAATATTCGATCTTATTTATACTATACTCGAATATAGTATAATATTACTTAGTATGAAATATCTTATAAAATATACTATATCTTTTCGGCTAGTAATTATTCTCTTTTCTATATAGTAATTAAGTTAAGAACTAATATTAATTTAGTTTTTAACTAGTTCTTAAGCAGTTATTAATTTAAAATTAGTCGTATTTTCTTATTAAATTTATTAAGATAAAATAACTCTCGTTTCTTTAATCTTTATTATTCTTATTTCTCTAGTTTTTAATTAATAGATTATCGATAGACTTTTAATTTTTAATTATTATACTCTCGCTATTTTTAGAGTTTTAAGTTATAATAAATAAACGAAGCGTATAATTAAAATCGATTAGCAACTATTAATAAACTAATTAAAAAAATCTATTTATTATTAATAATAGTAAATCTCGATTCTCTATTAATCTTAATATATAATTAATTTATATTTAGATATAAACGTATATAATAATAGATCTATAAAAAGATATAGTTTAAAAAGTATTTAGATTTAATTATAAATATAATTTAAGAGCCGCGATACTTTTAATACGCTAGAATTACTTTTTATATTTAGTTAGTAACTAATAAAACATCGCTATTTAATTATTTATTCTAAATATTTCTTTAATATAAGTTACTTCTTTAAATTCTTTAATATAATTAATTTTTCTTTCTTAATAAAACTTCTAGATATAAATTAATATAATACTAGTTAAGAAGTAATAATTATATATTTATTACGTAGTTATCTTACTTTTACGTACTCTCTTCTTAGATATATTAGATATAATTTAATATAATAATAATTAAAAAGTAATTATTCTTTACTTACTTCTTTATATTATCGAATTCTTTATCTTTAGATTTAATACTATTTTAGAGTTAATTAAAATAAATATTAATTAATATCTAATATATAATATATCGTAATTTAAACTTTAATAAGTATAAAATAGACTCGATAATATTAATATTAAATAATTATTAATAGAATATATATAGTCTTAAACGATTATCTTTATTTCTATTAAGTATATTAAATTTCGAATCTATCTATTTTCGATTATTAATTAATAAAATATTTAATAAAAATCTAATACTTATTAAATAATTAATAATATATTTATATAACTTAGCTTCTAATTTAAATTTCTTAAATATTACGAGCTTTTAAAATTAATTAAAAATCGATTAATATTATAAATAAAAATAAAATTTATTTTATAGTAGTATTTATAAAACTTTTTATATAATTTAATCTAAATTGATTAATAATTAAATTAAAAGAAGTTAAATTAAACTTATATTAATATTCGTAGTATTTTTCTTTTATTAAGAATAATAATCGTAATCTTTCGATGCGTAAGATATCTTTTAAGAGATAACTAGTTTTCTATTAATTAAAGTAATAGGAAATTAAAATAGAAATAGAAATAATCTAGTATTTAATTAGTTAAAATCTAGAAATTAATAATTTCTCTTCTTTATTATATTAATAATCTATCGATAGATTATTAATAAAATATCGAAATAGTTATAATTTTTCTTTTAAAAGTAATAAGAAAAAAACTAATAAATAATTAGATTTTTAAACTTTATATATAAAAATGAAGTTTAAGTAAGAATTCGAAATCTTAGTTTAGAATTATTTAGTAATTATAGTTTTTCGCTCGTATTTGAATATAATAAATAAATCTTATTATATTATAGATATATTATCTAGTTATAAACTCGAAAAGAAGAAAATATATATATATTTAATATTAAGTAATATTAAGAAAAGAAGAAGAAAGAAAGAAAGAAAGAAGTTTATATTACTAGAAAATTACGGGTAAGCTAGTAAACTAAGCTAGTCTCTTAGTATAATCTTAAAAAACTTAAATTTGAAATAATTAGATAAGCTAAGTTCGATTAGCTAGATTAACTATAAACTTCTAAATCTCTCTATTAATAGTCGTGTATTCTAAGTAAAGTATTCGATCTAAATAACTTAAGTTCTCCCTATATAAATAAAACCCTTTCTTACTTTAAGATGATGATGTTGCTTTTCGATTCGGGAATAATAAAATGAGTTTTTGTCGATTGACATTAAAATGATAATTCTCACTGTCGAAGGCAAAATGAGAAGATTAGTAACGGAAGTAGTTGCTTTTTCGGCGTGAATGCTACTTCTGATGAGGGTGGGAGGGTACGTAGATTTTGTTTCATTAAGAGATCTTCAAACATTCTAGTTATTCTTCGATGAAGCGAATTACTAATTTATATCTCGAAAGTATAAATTCTTATCGAATTATATTTCTAATTACTAAATTATATCTCTATATTAAAATTTACTTAAATATAAGATATAATTCGATAATTTATTATTACTTGAAATATAATTTAATAAAGATTTATACTTGCTATAGTAGTTTACTTAAGTAACCTACTTATAGATATAGCTAGATATTTATTAGAAATTATTTCTTTAGGGCCCTTACGGAGGTCTAAATAGAGGTATCTATAGTATAAAGTATAGAATAATCTAGATATCTAAGAGAGCTTCGAAAGTGTCTTTGAGGGAGTAAACTGTTAGTAGCGGCCTCTACGGGGGCTCTGCGAAGGCTCTACGAGGGCAAATATTTAGATCTAAATAGGAGTGTTCTGGCTGTTAAGCGTAGATATCTTCGAGACCAGCCTTTTTAGCTGAGTTACTAATAATAGTGTTTACAATAGTACGCTTAATAGCCAGAATACCCTTATTTGAACCTGAATATTTACCCTCGTAGGGCCTTCGCAGAGCCTTCGTAGGGCCTTCGTAGGGCCTCCGTGGGGGTCGCTGCTAATATGAAACTCGTAAACCTTGAAGCGTAGGGTGTAATTTGGCCTTCGAGCAGTCGAAATTGCCCCCACTCGACTTTCATCTAATGTTTTCAGACTGATAGAATTCTTATCAAATACGGTTGGAGAAAATCTCTTACTTCTATGGTTAGATAGGCTAGATCGCGGATTATCTTCTTCGTAGTTTAAGACTATTTTAATAACTTATTAAATTATACTTTAAGTACTAGCAAATTATCGAATTATATCTTATATTTAAGTGTAATTTAATATAGAGATATAATTCGATAAGGATTTATACTTTCGAGGTATGATTTGGTAATTTGCCCTTCTTCAATGACTTGTTGGGACAGAGCTTTAAGAGATATACTCCAGAATTATTATACGATATCTACTAGTCCCACGTCTCCGAGAGCAATGATGCATATACCGGCCTTCATGCTCGATTTTCTTCGGCGACCTGTGTTTCCAAGGCCCTAAAGCTTAACACTTAAGGCTTCGTAAAATTTATGTCGCAAGAAGGTTTCCCGTGCGATGGTATTCGCCGGGTGAAAGAGTCGGACCTGCACCTTCCCTTCGATAGTACATCCTTGACTGTACCCACAGTTCACAAGCAGCACGAAGGACTGCTGGGGCCTGCCACTCAATCCTTCCGTCACGAAGAACCCCGAGTCGTTTTTGTGCGTGTAAATAACAGGTGGCATTTCTTGTTGCATGATCAAAATGGCAACCACCTCGTCAGGGACTGTGGCTGGTCCCATGTCGGCGCTGTTATTTATTACGCCGCTTGCGAATATGGGGATGTCGATCTTGTAGAGACGGAGGAGCTTCTCTCCGACAAAGGCCTCGAGGAGGGAGGATTCATGCGCGATGTCTGTTGTGACGAAGAAGCTATTAGGTGGAAGGGCCATGTTTTGGATGGAGAATTTTGGTCTGGACACAACGATGGGAGTTGGGGTCTTGTATGGAGAAAATGGCGGACAGTGTAATTCGCTGGTTTTTTTTTACACGAAAATCGAGATTTTTTTCTCGGAGAGAGAGAATGACCTCATGAAGAGAATGTGTATCTTTCACGAAAGGCCTGCTAGGTGACTTGTTCTCCGATCCCGGGCAGCTCGGCGGGTGCATTGTCGTCGAGGTCCAAAAAGATACGCCGTCTTATTCGATATAGTACTTCGTTCCGTCATTTTAAATCATGTCGGAAATGAAGGCTTATAAGAAAGATTTAATAGTCGTATTAGGCAATACAAGTCTCTTAAGATAAAAACCTATTAATCGTAAGACTCTTGCCAAGCATTTTCGGAAGAGGACGATACGAGAGAACTTGATAAAATTATGAAAAGAGGGCGAAAAGTTTAGATTAAGTTGTTGAGGTCTAATCTGTGAGTTAGTTAAGTCGCGTTGCGAGAGAAAATTAATTCTTGCCACGACAATTTTCTAAAGATCGCGATAATATTAGAATCTCTAATAGGAATAGTCGTTTTGTTCTGATCAGTAGCTTAAACTAACGTAGTAAAGAAGATGGGTTTAATTAGTTTCGAAGCGTGATATGTCCCTCTAGGCATGACTTTTGCTACGACGACATTTTTATAAGTCTTTGTGAATATCTCTAGGGGCTTGAACAGCTATATGGGCTTCTATAACCTTATTAATGATTTTGCGTAGACTAAAAAGCCTACTAAGTGATAGGTCTGAAATTGAGGCTAACGATGAAGATAGCGAGAATAGAAGATGAAAGAGATATCATTAGTCATGTCGCGCGTATAGTATTAGTCGCGGTATTAAGATTCTTACTAGCGGTGAATTGCTATAGAGTATAATATGTGAGTATGTCAACCGGTTAAGTATGCTTAATATATTAACGCTAGGTGTAGAATATGTTGTGTAGAGCATGCATGTTAGTCGACTTCGACAAGGCTTTGTGCTCCCCCGAATTCGGTGGTGCCCCTTTGCAAACGTTTAAGAGTCTGGAGAGTGAAGCTCTGGCAGGTTGTAAGCTCTGTCTTGCAATCCAAGATAAGAGCAATGAAAAATAGCAGTAAGCAGCTGCTGATGATATGATATTTGTCTGTGTATGGAACTGGTTCGAGGGGCCACAAGAAGATTATCGTGGTAGTGCTGTTATTCTTTTCTTCCAGCGCCCAAGTAATTGGTGTGTCGAGATGGGGATTTTTATTGAGGAAGGTAATGGCCAGATCCAATCTCATTCTTACCGGCTGCGCTCGATGAATATTCTAATGTCCTTGTATAGATTCTGCGCTTGAAGGGAAGTATGTTGTTAGTGGCAGACCTTTTCAAAGTAACGCACTCTCCGAAAAATGTGTGTTATTAGCTCGAACGTGGCTTGATCAATGCGTAAAAACCCACAGCGACTCATGTCCAAGCGCGATATGCACGCTTCCGACCCGAGTCCTTGATGTTGGAGACGAGTCATATCCGCCAAAGCTTTACGTTACATACCATGAACAGGGCATTTGGGTTGCCCTGAGCCACTGTTGGGGTCGAGAGGCTCGCTTTGTGATGGAGTCGAGAAGTATAGCCGAAAGGCAGCAAGGAATGACACTTGAAGCTATTCCTGCAACGTTTCGTGATGGTATTCTAGTTACCAGAAGACTTGGGTATCAGTACCTTTGGATTGATTCCTTATGCATTCTCCAGGACTCGAAGGAGGATTGGGCACGCGAATCGAGCCAAATGCAGCACTATTACAAAAATACAATACTCACTGTTGCTACAGATAATCTCACAGGGGATCACGAAGGCTTCTTGGACACGACTAGGCCACGAGACTCGAAATCAATTAGAATTCCTTTTTATACAAGTTTGGCATTAGAACCAGTCTACGTTTATGTCCGGAAATATGTTCATCTTCCCGGTTATTAGAACGATAGTGCTCCTCTGAACACTCGTGGCTGGACCTTATAAGAAAATCTCTTATCACCGAGGACGCTGTATTACGCCGAGTAATAAATTATTTTCAAATGTCAGAAGTACAGCGTCACAGAGTCCGACATTACACCTCGTGGAACTTTCGACGCCGATATATTCTCGACTATCAAGCGTTTCTTCCTGTGATTAGAATGCAGCCGCAAAGATTCGATAGTCGTGAGATATCCGACAATGGCCAAATACTACGATCCGCTCTTTCGATGGTATCAGATACTGATAGAGTACTATAAAAGATATTTGACTTTCGAAGACGATCGATTTGCAGCAATTTCGGGATTGGCTAGAGAAATTAGCCAATAGAGCAAGATGACTTATAAAGCGGGGATTTGGGTAGAAGATTTTCACTTAGGGCTGTTGTGGAACGTGAGCTGTCGCGGATTGTTACCAAGGAACTACCGTGCATCGTCTTGGAGCTGGGCCTCGCTGGACATAAATATGGATTGGGGCTAGAACATCGACCTCGTTTTTGACCTGTACTTTGGTCCCAAAAATCACGAGGCTGTATATCGCGAGGCTGAATTACTTGAGATGGATGTTCAGTTGGTCGACGGAGATCCCTACGGGCGTCTGTTATCAGGAAGCCTTCGAGTTAAAGGCCGGTGGCTTCCTTACAGGCTTTGGCGCGGTAAGACGCTAACGTACTTTGTCATATTTTGGCGGAAGCCGATGTCTCACGGTAATCTTCGACCCTGGGGTCGGCGCGAGCCTGATGGTCGAGATTAACTTATATGTAGCTTTGACGAAGATGTAGAAGACGAGAGCGAGAGCGAGAGTAGTGGAACGTTGGATGGGTAAGTAGACGAGCCTGATGCTGAAGAGTCAGATGCTAGGCCATTATTAGAGAATCTTTTACTAGAGTATGATGTATTATCTAGGAGCGAGAAAAGCTTAAGCACACTAGAACTCGAGGAGGAAGATAAGGAAGTATCGCATAGCTGGGACGCAGCAATCTTAGACGAAGTCTCCATGCTTCAGATTACAAAATATACCTCAAAGTCCGGGGAAGACGAATTATCCGTTTTCTACGCTCTATTACTAAGACCTGTCATGGGGTAAGAAGCCTATTTTCGACGGGTAGGTTTAGCGGATATTCCTGATGTTGACGCACTGGCTGTAGATGGTTGGGAGAGCAAGAATTGTACTATTATCTGAGCGGCTATAGTGGGATGTCATGTGGGGTTTGAGTCATTATGAGAGAGTGTGTCTGTGAATGGGATGGAGCAAGTTCGAAAGGCGGTATGATTGTGAGGGGAATGGAAGGCTTGAGAAGTGTCGTGTGGGGACTTGAACAGGCTTTACTCCTTTCAATAATTCATGCTTTTAGCGGTGTCAGAGACCTCTGTTGACATCGAACTTTTATACTGGGTACACTACAACTACTGTTAGCGTACCATTCTATCCTCCATTAGCTATACTATCATCAATTAATACCTTTCTCCCCTGGATTTTCGTTAAGTACGTACGTACGTATGGGCATCGAAGGCCTGGGAATATATGAAAGTTTTTATTTCCTTTTGTAGTTCAAATATCACATGTTCCTCGTCTGCGATTGCCCTTCAGCCCGTAGTCGATGCGTATGTCTATTTGATTTGCAATTTGCAATCGTGTCCCCATTGCGCCATTCTCTGCTCCATTTGCGCGTATGACCGGGGCTGCTATCTAAACATCTCCGCTGCTCGATACTGGGTGCTGGTTTACGATACACAACCAGCATGCAATTCCGCCTCTCCTCGCGTCTCCTTCTGTTATGGGCCACTGCTGCATAAAGAATTCTCAATAGGTCTCATAAAGCTAGGTAGATGTACGACGTTCGCACAAAGGAAAAGAAATATGAAAATACTAATTATCTTTTAGAAACGACCTGGATTCCAAGTTGAAGGGCTTTCTGCTCTAAAGCCTCGACAATTTTTTAAAAATCTCTATGATTAGATAACTTCTTTAACTGTATCTTCGCATGATCTAGCGGCGTTATCTGGCTTTCCTTCTCCTTAATATTAATCCTCGTCCTATATTTTAATAACACATCCATAGCGTTAATATGGCTCTATTCTGCCGCTTAATATAACGGTGTTCATTTATAGTTATTGCGTGTATTGATGTCCACGTTGTGAGCGAGTAGAATCTTAATGTATTTCACGCTCTCCTTCTATGCAGTAGAATGTATGGGGATATCACCGTTGGAGAGCCGTAAGTTCAGGTTAACGCGTTGATTATCGCATAATAGGTGTAGAATATCGGGATGGCCGCGAGCTGCAAGGTGTAATGCAGTTTAACCTATTAAATCGCTGTCTCGCCAGTTGTAATTTACGCCGCGCTCGAGGAGAATGCGTATTATATCAAGGCGACCTTTTTCTATTGCTCTATAGAGAGGTGGTTTAGGCCAATTGGCGGATTCACTCACTGCATTGATATCTGCACCGAAGTCAATTAGTAGTCTTAGGATTTCGTTATCTTCTTGCTCGATGGCTGCGTCTAGAAGTGTGGTGCGATGACTGTAGTCTAAGACGCAGTGATTGGCGTCGATATTAGATTCCAAAAGTTATCATATTGTTATTAAATAACCTCCGTTGATTGTAGTATAAAGCGCTGGTTTGCCTCTAAATTGGGCTTCTAATTTAGTACTAGAGGAAAGAAACCTAGGAATAAGAGCCGCGTTGCCTACTTCTACGGCTACGTAGAGGGCGAGAGGATATATAGCGTACTCTAAGTTTATACGAGCGCCTTTATTAAGTAGTAAACCGATTATGTTATAATTCGTAAGATGAATTCTAGCGGCCAATACAGTACTTCATAAACGAACTTCTAAGATATATTATATATTTCCAGGTTAGGCGTTGATATTCGCACCTCGATCTAAAAGTAGCTGAGCGATTTGGTGGTGGCCTGCTAAAATTGCAGCTTAGAGAGAATTATCATAGAAATTATCGACTAGAACGGGATTGGCTCTATGATTAAGAAGCTT